AATGTTGAAGAAGTGCGAGAATGGGTGGACGAATGGATTGCTTCGAAACAAACATCGTTTTATCGAGATGGTATCGCCCAGTTGCCAGAAAGATGGCAAAAAGTTGTAGAAAGTGATGGAAAATACTTTCATTGAAATAATTTAAATAAATTTTTTACAATAAATGCTTTTTCTCAGTATTTTTTGGGCGGAAACTAAGTTAAGGTCCTAATATATATATATATATATATATTGTGACGTGGCGGCCGTGGAGGCATCACAAAGTAATAAGAACCGATTTTGCGAATATTTCCGCCGCCGCGACCGAGTCTGCGTTTTGTTTCGCGTACGCCGGCGTCCGCCGGCGGTTAACCAATTCGGAAAGTTCGTGGAGCAGATAGAGGGGTCATCGCGCCCCGAGCTTTGTGCCCCCAGGCTCCCCATTTGGTCGACCAGCGAAGAAGAGGGAAGCCGAGGACGCCGTGGGACGAAAGAACATCGCCTACACTACCATCGCCACCGCTCAGGTGAATACGCTTCTTATCAGGGTAACGATCTTCTTTTCCGTCGATTGCCAGAATAGTTTTCGAAAATTCGATCGCTATCGGACAGAGAATATTCTGGAATCATGTATCGCGTGCCGAAATATTCGATCGATCACGAATATTCAGCAGCGCGATAATTGCCACCGTCACGCCGAGAGCCAGAGCTGTCGTGCTGTTTACATTTTCAGCTTGACGTTTCTCGAGGGGCCAGGGGGGGCCCCCTCAGCTGAGACGGGAAACTGTACCACTGGATCAAGGCCACGAAATACGCCGGCGAGAAGAAAAGTCTCGAATAATAATAATCCCGGCTACTGAACTTTCGAGACCACGAAAGGATCGAGCGCAGACGAGAGGAGCGGCGGAGGCGGAGGAGCGAATCAGCGATCGACAGGACGAGGACGATCGGAGCGAGCAATCTCCTACCGGCTACCGTCGCGACGATACGATCAAATAGGCTTCGCGGTACCATTACGAATTTTCCGAGCCGTGGGTGATACTGTGAGAGAGCGGACGGGCAGGAGAGAGAGTGCACGCGAGAGAGAGCGAGCGCTGCGGAGAGAGAGAGTGCGCACGTGAGAGAGCGAGTGTACAGGCGAGGACGAAAGGGAGCGTGCAGGCGAGGACGAGAGAGAGCGTGTAGGCGAGGACGAGAGAGAGAGAGAGAGAGCCGATGAGGCCGAGGCGGAGGACACCACCGAGGAGGACCGAGACACCGAAGTCACACCGAAAGGCGAGTCATCGAACCTGTAAGACCTCCTATCTGCTCTGGCTATCGGTTTGTCGTATCGTCTCGTCCGTAGAGCGGCCGCGAAATCTCGAGATCTAGGGACCGACCCTAGGTCCTCAGCCGATTCGCATATTGACGCGGACGGCACACGACTCCGCGTATCGTCGCTTTCGACTTGGTGTACCGTGTTCGATCTCAGGGCGGGGAGACCCGTCCAAATAAAACTTGTCTATCATATCGAGAACCCGACTCCGTGATTATTTGCTGTTATTTCCCAGTCTCAACGAACCCATCCCGTCTCCGACTCCAAAATTCCCAGGAGCTACCAGTCCCGTATGACTCCTGACACGATTAGCCTATCGGG